AGTTTCAAAATTGATATTGATTGTTGGTGGTATCATAAATACAGTGGTCAATGACTCAATGTAATAAAATTAAAATTTAGGCTCTTTCACAAATAGTTTTTAGATTAAAATGTTGTTTTTTTAAATGATTTAAATCTTATACATATAAAATGGAATAAAATTATTTTGACCAAAGAAAATGTAGAGTAACACGTTTTAAAAAGTAGCAAATAAACCCAGTTGCTGAAAATTGTTTTAACAGTATATTAAACGTGATAAATTAAGGCTGCGCATTACCTAACCGGTGATGTCATACACACAAGCCAAGTTTAAGTTAGATGGCGCTATTTAACAACATTTCTTCTGGAACGAGTTGAGACATATTCTACCCGACTGGATTGCTATTCATGAGTGACATCTGACGTACTAGTACTTTTAGAAGTGGTGAATTTTAACCTCCCACAAGATGGTAGCCATTGTTGGATTTAAAAAAAATTTATGTTTGAGTAAAAAATATCATTTATTATACATTTCTTTTTTTTTCTATCTAATTAATAAGAATAGGCATATAAAAACGCTGATTGAAAAATAGATAATAGTCTATTTTTAATAATAATTTTTAAACAATACATGGATCCGGCCATGCACTGAAGTATATTTACTCTAAAATACAAACAACTTACTCTATTCGAGTATGGACCGATGGCCCATACCCAACCTGCTCCATCTCTACCGAATTTAACTGATATATTTGCTACTCTTGTTTCCACCGCAACACAAAGGCCTCCGCCATCGGGATGTAGAGACAATGTCATCTCAGCTTCGCTGAGATATAAGCCTGCAAATATGGCCATTACAAAAATGGCAAATATGTAACGGTCCATGCTTCTGGAACTCTAAAAAAAATGTATATTTAAAATATAGATTTTGAACGTTGAAGAAGAGGAATCTGGGTTTTTGGGCTTTTGTTTGAAATTCAAACCCAATTAAAGCAACTAAAAAAGTATCTCCGAAAATATCCTAAATTGAAAGATACGATACGATACGATACGATATTCTTTATTGTCATTTGACAGGGTACAAATGAAATTCAAGATGATAATCATGTTCAAATACGGTAGTATATAAACCATTTACTCTGGCAAAGGTGATATGCCAAATCCTCTATTCTTTCCATCATGACAAAACCAAAGGTATAAATCCAGAATTATGTATGACAATATGTTTCAATCCTTCTATGGCGGCAAACAACCATTATATGAAATTCATAGAGATCAGAAATAAACTATTGGAATTAAATTTAACATTAATATAAAATACCAGTAAAACAATTTACAGAGAACATATCAAAATGTAAAATAATTTTTTAAAACAATTTAAACTATCTAGAATAAGCACTTTTATTTCAGTGGAGATTGATGCAATAAACAAGGACAATAGTTAAAAAGTGAGTTCTCAAAAGAATTTATCAATTACAGATTCAAGATGACGTTTATATACCTGTATAAAATCAAAGGTGTTAAAATCATTAAAATTATAAAACAATAAAATTAATGCTATGAAAACTGCAAGAACACACCAACAAAATAGGTTTTCTAGTTAATTAAATAAGCGTTTGTACTGCATAAATCAGAACAGTGTCCAGAATCATTTTCACTTTTGGGATTACATTGAATTTGACACTCGGCGCTACTAAGTCTTATAAATAGATAAAGTGTACACTCCAATTCGAGACCCCTCTAATTCTGAAACCCCTCTAATTCGAGACCACTTTTTTTAATGAACTATTGCTATTAATAACAATCTTTAATCTTTTAATATAAAACTATACATTTAATTGAAGACCGAGTCCCGAGACCGCCCCATTCAAGTACCAAAGGTGGTCACGAATTGATGGCGAACTGTCGTTAGAGATAACAGGGGTGTAGTTTGTGTGTGTGTGTGGGCCCGTGTGTGTGTGTGGGTGTGTGTGTGTGTGAATATAAAAACTATGCAAGATAGGCCCTATGTGACTTGGACCTCCGCTTAGTATATATAAGGTTGATTGTACAAAATAAGCCTAAAAAATGTTAGTTTGCTTTGACCAAAATACCCTAGATTTTCGGACCTTTAAATCAATAAATATTAAATTAACATTTAAAAAAAATCCAGTCTCTTTGATTTAAGTAATATAGGCTTGATGTCGAAATGATATGCAAGTGACGTGACGTGTTATAATAATTAAATATTTCAACTCCTACATTCATTTCAGGATAAATAACAATAATAATTAAATATAGTTATTAATATATAATTGCTATACAAAAATAATATATTTAATAATATAAATAATATTAGCAATGTGTTACTGTAATTGTTTAATCTACAGGTATTTCATATCTGGCAAGATTTCCTAGCCAATGATACAGTTAAAGGTCAATCATTTTTGAATCAATGATATATTGCGATAATTCTACAAAAATGAAATGATGACAAAGGGACCAAAATAAAGACCACAGCTAACATGGCTTAAACATCCTCCACAACACATTATATAAATAATTATAAAAGCGATACAAAATGGTCCATGATCTGTTAATCTATACAATTCGCACAGACGTACACACCAACATCAGTGTGCTAGGCCTAGCTTTATTAATGGGCTAGCTTAGCTTTGCTGTTCCTCTAAATCAGCAGGGGTGGACCCAGAGATGTCCGAAAAAGAGGCCGAAAGTGGGCCGATCGAGACAACACTACCCTAGGGCTCAGCGAATTTGTTGTTTTCTAGACGCCCAAAAATAAATTATTTCTTTTTTTTCTTTCTTTCTTTCTTTCTTATAGAAAGAAACTAGTAAGTTATTTTTTAAATGTGTTATGTTATTATTTGGCCTATTGTTTATTCATATTCTAAAAGTATGGAGGTGTACTTGGTGGTTAAGATAATTGCCTTGAAATCCAAGTATCTTGGGTTTAAGTCTTGTGACAGCACAAGATTTAAATATTAGCCAACATCTTAAGACAAGCTATATAGTATATATTCTATTCATAGTCTAAAAGGGACTATGGACTATGTGTCCAAAATAAACTAAGGTGAAACATTGATAGGCCTACATTATAATGTGAAATAATAACCCAAAATACAATCAGATGAATTATAGAGGTGTGCAAGATGGTTAGGATGCTTGCCCTCCAATTCAAGTGTCCTGGGTCCAAGTCATGTGACAGCACTTCCTTTATTCTCACTACTAAAAAAATGTCTGCTTCCTCACTCCTGCAATGCAGTTTATGAAGGTTTACATTACTTCATTTATTCAAGAGGGCTCCTAAATATCACCCAACATTCTAGGGTAAGCGTTACCCTCTTTAAATATTGTTAAAATAAAGATAAGCATGTATAGGCTTTATTGTACAATAATACAAACTATAAATTTCGTTTTCATGCAAACCCATATGCATTATATAGAATATTATCAAATTTTTATTGAATGGAATAGATATAATGCTTACTAGTAAGGGACTGGGCTATGGACTTTGTGTCTGAAATGAACTATGATGAAAAATTGATACATATAAGGTAAGATAATAAGCTAAAATAAAATAAAATAAAAAAATATACGTATATTTATTATATATATACGTATATATATATATATATAT